AATTCATTTATGTATTTTGCACTATAGACAACTTTACATTTTTTTTACTGACTTGAAGTTTCATCGTTTTCTTTGCCGCTTATAATTCGAACCGGTTCTTACAATATTTGAAAATTTGAGTTGTAATTAATGAATCTAGCATATACTGTCTGTGTTTCACACAGTTACTATTACAATTACACCATTCTGCTAAAAATGTTTTTTGTTTTTCAATTATAATTTTTCCCAAATTATAAAAAAAAACGTGTTGCACTCGGAGACTGCCGCGGTAAAGCTATTGCATAGCATTTTTATCAACTTATGCAATTATAATTATTTATTTATTTTATTTATGCAGTATTTTTTTTCTTTGATAATAATTCAAGTTTTTTCTTTGATACTAATTCAAGTTAAACTTTTTGATCGTGGTGACCGATAAATTAAATAAATGAGAAGTTAATATTGTTTAAAATATTTTTAATTTCTTACAATACATGTAGGTTATTCAGTTATTTTTATTATTGACACTAGAGGTTTATAATAGTACATTATATACCTAGGGTGAGAAGTGAGCTATTATTTACTGAGCACTTTTATATCCTGAGGCGCGTAGCGCCGAGGGATATAATGTGCGAGGTAAATAATAGCTTTCTCAGCCGAGGTATATATAGAATTTTTTTTACTACTAACATTAATGTATTAGCAATTTTAATTTTGACATAAGTAATTTCCTAACAATTTGTTAAATATTTCGAAATATCAAGCAGACTGGAGCGTGTTTCTAATCAGACTGGCTTTATTTATGTAAAAATTTGGCATGTGTCAAATTTTGGTATGATTCTAGGAAATATCCCATTGCATTTTTGATATTTTAATGACATGGATTTATTGTTATTAATTAATAATTTTTAAAGCCGGTGTTGAATTTCCTAGTTAATATATATTTTTACTATTAACACTGATATATATTATCATATTTGATTTGATTAGATTTTAATAAACCCAGCTTTAGTTATTTCCTACTTATTTTTCAAATATTTCAAAATATCAAGTAGTCTGGGAGTTTAGTTGTCAAATTAACAAAATGAAACTAATGAAATTTAGTTTCATTATTTACCTAGGTTTTTTTTTATTATCATTATTTACCTAGGGAGAGAAATATTACTTCTCATTAGAGGAATGGAGTAAATAATGGTGATTTCTCATGTTAGTAGTAAAAAAAATAATTTTTTAACCACTTTGCTCAGGATAGGGATTGGCACAGGTGCAATTTGGTAAAGTACAATGTTGTTACATGTCTTTGGAGCATATTTCATGTCGTTATCAGATGACGGTCGAAATTTGCAGTGGGCTCTTGGGCTAAAAGGTACTAAATACTGCATTTGTGATAATAATAAAATGTATGTACATAGAGTACACACTCATTTTCTTTCATTATTTTTTCATCATTTTCTTCATTAATAAATGCACTTTGTTTATTCATATTTAAAACACTTTATACACAAATTTTACGCGTACAGCTATTCACTGTTGTACATAGATGACATACACCTACTTGGGTTTGAATAGTGTAGATAGCAAGTTGGTGGTTCGAGCCTCGTAACTTTTAGTTTTTTTTTTTCTTAAAAAATAGGAAAAATATTATTGTTTTATTATTTCACATTCTTGGTAATTTAAAATGTTTAGTTTTTAGAAGGTATATACTTATTCAGTGATTTTCCACACTTGTAATGTAATATACTATTCCTATTTTTTTGAATTTAAATAAACGAAGTCTCCACTTGTAGCTTGCATTTTTAAAATTAGCTGAACTTGAAAGAACCTCGTTATGCGCCACTATGCATTGAATAAGTATATAATTTTTAAAAACTAAACATTTTAAATTACCAAGACTGTGAAATAATAAAACAATATTTTTCTTTAAAAAAAAAAAAACTAAAATTTTCAGGGCTCGAACCACCAACTTGTTACCCACATTACGACCACTGTGCGCTTTGCGCCACCGAGGACATATTGATAGATGTTTGGAATCGCTTATAATATTATATAACAATTTATTACAAATATTTATGAAAAATTTTATCATGTCAAATGATACCTATATTGTAATTTAATGGAATCACATAAATATATGATTTAAAAACTATAAAAGTATCATTATTACTTAATTGTATTAATTTTTAATCTTGAGAGATTAAAAGTTTAAACATAAGTCATCTAAATAAATGCATTTTATTATTATACCACGAAATGTGAATTTAAAATCTCTTTCTACACTAAATAAGACTTATTTTAATGTTGGCCGGCAATTAAACCCTCTCAAAAGTGTCTGCCTAAATTACTAGTATTTTTAGAATTACCTAAACCTTTAATTGTCGGGAACATTTGTCATACCAATTTATTAGAAGCTCTTCTAGTTCTTGTATTGCACAAATGTTCCAGTTCGCAGACGTATATTTAACTTCGTTTCATACTAATACGAATAGGGTCGGATATAACATTCCATGGCTTTAACGTCACACTGCTGTGCCGGTCGGAGTGGGAGGTATTAGGTTTATTTTCGTTACGGTGTTACGAAATTTCTTGATTCGGTCGCGATAAAAGCTATGTAATAGCTTAAAAAATTTGTGATAAAATATTCTTCTTTATTTTGCGTGTCAGTTTGTAGCGATATTCTAGCAAATTGGCCCAATAGTGATGATGGACATTTTAGCCCGGATTGCTCGTTTAGATTATAAGTTTTATAAAAAATTAGTGGTGTTCATCATTCAAAACATTTTATTTTTCTTCGAAATAATTTTGACACTCCTAGCATTTAAGTATCCGGCAAAAGAACGTAGTGGAACTTTTTTCTAATGTTACAGGAAGCGTCTTCTCTAATGAAATATTGATTTCAAAACTCTTATTGTATTCTTCATTATCTGTATCTTCATCATTATGAGGCTCTATTAAAAACGTTTTTTGATTTTGATCTTGGTCCTGATTCGTTCCCGAATTTGTTTTAAGTGGAGGCCTCATGAAATTATGAACGATATTTATCTTAAAAGCTGCTTTGAAACCCCTAACAGTAGGATTTCGATTATAACTCCCTTTATGCCTATAGGCAGAAAATTGGTTTTCTAATGGATCCTAAATTAGTCTTCCTGTTAATACATATTTAGGTTGAGTAAAATAAAACTCTTTAACGGCATTTATGGTAAGAAGAAAACCATCGAATAAATCCGGTCTCGTTAATTTACCTTTGGCAGTTTGTTTAGCTACATTCTTTAAAAGTTCGTGTCTTTGTGTAACAGCATTAAAATCACCTCTTTATTCTCAATATAATACAATAGGTTACAAGGTTTCGAACTATATGCAGAAGAACTACTTAAGCCATCAAATAGGTTGTTCATTGTTTCAATAAAATAAGCTGTATTTTTAGCCGTTATGGAAACTAATTCTCCAGTTCTTGTTGCTGTTTTAATCGTTGTAGCTACAGAATGGTTAAATAACTGAGATAGCATTTGGGAAAAGGTTTTTAAAGTGATTTTTAATAAAGCTCTTCCAGTTTTGCTACGTTGGTCCAGTTCATCATCAAATCTGATAAATTTGCCTTGAAGATAAAATAATCATGTAAAAACTAATTTCGAACGCATTTTTTTAAATAAAAGTTACTTGTAAAAATATTTTCTATATTTTTGTCCATTGCAAAATTCTCCTAAAATGGTCCGTATTCGAGAAAATTGACAAAAAGGAAAAAAATCAAATTTTTACGAAAATTGTTTAAACAAAAGTTGTTGTTTACAATGTCATTCTCTATGATTCTTATTTTATACATAATTTCTCTAAAATGGACCGTATTCGATATATTTGAGAAAACGTAAAAATTTCGAATATTGAATGTAACTTAAAAACGAAATAAGACAAAAATATTAAATAATAAACTTAGGCTTAAATGCATCCTGCGATGAACAGATTAAATTTTGGACATAGTCGGAACATCTAAGGGATACTCTATACTAGATCGTTTTTCTATATATTATGGAATATATCTGTTATTTATGCTTGGAGAAGAAAATTCTTCAATTAAAAGTTGCTTTCAAATATTATTCTCTATAGTTTTTTCTAATATTAAATTTTCCTTAAATGGTTCGTATTCGAGAAAATTGACAAAAGTAAAAAATTCACATTTTTAAGAAAATTGTTTAAACAAAAGTTATTTGTGATGTCATTCTCTATAATTCTTGTTTCACAAATGATTTCACTAAATTGGACTGTATTTGAGATATTTGAGAAAAGTACAAATTTTGAATTTTGAAGGTAACTCAATAACAGAATAAGACAAACCCACCAAATTTTAATTTTAAGCTTTAATCCATCCTGCGATAACCTGATTAAATTTTGGGCATAGTCGGAACATTTGGAAGGCACTTTGTAAAAAGTCATTTTTCTACTTTATGGAATATATCTCTTATTTAAGCTTTAAGAAGAAAATTATTTAAATAAAAGTAATTTTATTCTCTATAATTTTTGTCTTATACATAATTTTCCTAAAATGGTCTGTATTAAAGAAATTTGACAAAAGTACAAAATGCTTGAAATAATCAGACAGGAAAGTCATGTGATGGACACATCAGTTTTTTTATATTTGCTAGTTATGAATGGTGGCTTTATCAAAAAATATACGGCTATTTAATGATCAAAGTAACCCCACTTTTATTCTAATTATGAAAACGCACTTTGTTCCTTTAAACTACAAATTTTAAGTTATTTTTATAGCGACTGATAGCTTGTAAAAATTCCGATTAATCTGTATTTTTTGATAAAATATTCATGTACAAAAAAATTAAGATACTACTACTTTTTAAATTTAAATTTTGATTAAAGTAAGCCCATTTGACATACTGTACTGCGAACTTCTATTGTACAAAAATTGATCTGTTTATCATCTAGGGTGAAACAAGTTGCCCTACTAAATAACTTTTATTGTAGGAATCACTTTGTGTGTACTTATCAAATTTCATTTAAGTTTCTTTACTTACCCTTAACAACTTTACAAGTCTGCATACACTGTTCTTCGGTCAAAAAGTTATTTCTGTTTCCTCTGCATCCTCCATAAACAAATGGAAAACATTTCAGCTTGGTTGCATCAAACCACCACCTATTAAAATATCCCTGACAAGGTCCTGTGTCTCCATCTTGCATGCATACAACTTAAATAAAAAATAATTTATAGGTATGTACTCTTATATGCCGTCCAGTTTCTTTATAAATCCATGGTGGGTGTGAAAGTAAAACATTGTTCACTCTGTATAGTAATACTGCCACTGACAAAGTTTTTATTGTTCGCAAACAACCCACTAGCAAATTTATTTTAACTTCTTTATTTAATATCCTCTTTTCTTTAATGTATTTTTATTTCCTTTACCCTTTTCCCTTTCTACCAGTCATGATCTCTTTTTAAAGGACAATCTTACATAATAACTCTAAAAAAATATAATGAAATTCTTATCATGGAATTTGTATGATTTGCTTTCATACCTTTAACTATCCCTGATTTTATTTTATTGATTTATTAAACAATTTTGACTATTTAGAAAAACTATACAAACCTTTGGCAGTATTCATATCAACGACACAGGTTGCTACTTCTTCGCAGGGAAGTTGTTGAATTAGTTCCACACGACTACTACATTCTTGTTGCCTCGAAGCTTCTACCAGAAGGAGTCTTGTCCGCATCTTGATCCCTTTGCCACAGGAGGCACTGCAAGGACTCCAATCGCTCCATTGTGTTGTTGGACAAGTGGGATCGTTAACAACTATTTCATCTGTCCGACACTGCCTGTTTTCACAACTTTCTTTTTCCACTAAAAGTAGCTTTTAATGAAAATGAAATAAATACATTTATGTTATGACTTACTTATTGTGATATGGGGACATTTTTTAATACCAGTTCTGTCCAAGAACTTACGCGTTCGCATCTTCTGGCCTGGACCACAGATCTCCGAACATGAAGACCAAGCACTCCAGGCTGTCGTAGCGCAAATCCCTGAGTTGTCCAGTGGGTCTATTTCTTGAGAATCTTTAGATTCTTCACTAAAGAAACAATATCATTATTATATAAGCATTCATGATAATGAATGAAACTTTTTACGTACGCATCACATTCTGGAACGTTGGCAACACACATTTCTTTAGAGATTAGTTGTCTGTTACATGCGACCAATTTAGCTTTATCTGGCTGAACGTATTCCCTTGTTCTAAATCTGAGACCTTTTCCACAAGTTACAGAACATGCAGACCAAGCTGTGTAATCAGTAACAGCACATTCAGCTAAAATTATATATCATGATTAGAGGTATTATTACAATCAAAAATATTTTAAAGAAACCAACCTCTAGATGTATCTTCAGTATTTTCACTAACGTCTAATTGAGAGCTAAGAAAATTGTCATCACAATTTTTCGGAATTATCTTTTCTCGGGTTAAATATAATCTAGCAAGTGGAGTCATTTCTTTCTTTGAAGGATCATAGAAAGGTGCTCTGGGATCTTCGGGATAAGTTGTTGTTATTCTATACATTCTTTCTCTGGGATTGGTTTCTGCATTGGGTGACTAATAAAATATATTAAAGAATATATTAAATAAACGAGAGAGTAAAGTAAGCTTCAATCAAACACATGAATACCTACCATATAACTTACACCACTGTCAGTTCCAGCATCGTAGGGGTATAAGTCTATGTTCAGTTTTTCTGCCCAAGTACAATTCTTCATACACAAATTAAGACCATTGATACCAACTACCCAATCAGGTGAGGGTCCTATTGCAAAACAATTTTATTTAGATAAAGAAGAAAATATATTAAGTAACTAGCAATTATATTTAATTTCTAATTTAATAATAAATCTTTGTACTTACCAAACATAGAAGCAACAGATATAAGATGGTGTCTTCTGTCAACCTTAAAGTTGGCACTAGTATTTGTATTAACATTAGGATGCCATAAACCGGCAGCCTTAATGATTGTTCTCAGATATCTGCTTTTCGCTCTGAGCTCAGTTTCCATTAGTCTCACTGATCCCCATTCAGCCAAACTTCTAAAGCCTTCTGACGCTACCTGATCTTCGCCCCAGAAGCTGAAATTCTTTTCATGCGAGGCTCCTATTACGTCAGAAAAGTGGGTTAGCCATAAGAGAGTTGGATAGTCTTTGGGATGAGTTCTGCTGGACCAAATTCCTTCAAACACCAACTGTAAAATAAAAAGGCGTTGATTTCGAACTGTCAAATAAATACCATCCCAAAATGTTAGGATTAGTTAGTATATCATGGAAATTTTTATAGACTAGTTGATGGTTATATTTTCAAAGATATGTTTTAGTATAAGAAGGAGATAAGATTTATATTTTATTCTCTAAACCGTGTAATATTCAGAACCAAATCCATTTACACCTCTAAAATAACTTAATAATATAGGGGAGACCGGGTTTGGTTGGGCACAGGGATTGGTTGGTACAATCGCGAAATTTCGGAACCTGTTCTATAAAACTCGGCGTCGTCCATGCCTATGTGAAGATCTCGACCACTGCGTATCAGTTGGGAATAGGTATCGTTGAAGTGCGGTCGTTTGTTACGAGTTTTATTTGATGTACATGATTTTGTTACCCGTAAGTAAAAATTTATGAGTTTGGAATATTTATATTAAAAATTTTGTGGCTTTGTCGTTAACTACAGAATATGTATATTCAGAAACATTGCGCATTTTTCTATTATTTAAAAATATTAATGTTACTCTGAAGAGTGGTTTAGGTATTTTTAAAATAAAAAATTACATTGGGGATGGTTGGTACACACTATGCAGGTTTGGTTGATACAGTGTACCAACCAACCCCATACCTAAATTTGTGTTTTTTCTTCGTTGTGCTTCTAGCTGGAGTCTTTTTTAGATAATCTTTAGTATGCGAACGTTCAAAAGAAAGTTGAAAAGAGGCAAAACTCCTCCAGATGTTATGCTAAGAGCTGCCAGAGCAGTAAAATTACAAGGGCAATCTTTAAGATCAGCGGCAGGTGACTTTTACATTCCATTTAACACTTTACGAAGACTGCAGCAAGTTTACGCTAGATGAACTTCAAGCGGAAACAGTAATGCCTTCAACTATTGTTGGATACTTTAAAAATAGATAAGTATGGTAAAACATATACTTAATAAACTAATTGGTAATAAAATGTTTTGTTGTAGGTTTTAACAAATCTTCAAGAATCCAACCTAGTAGAATACATAAAAAAAGCTGCTGATATTTACTACGGTCTTACGCCCAAACAAGTGAGAAGAATGGCTTTTTTATTTGCAACTTCTCTGTCATTGACGTCTCCGATAGTTAGACAAAAAATGAAATGGCAGACCTCGACTGGTTTACATCGTTTTTATCGAGAAATTCTGAGCTGTCCATAAGAACACCTGAAGCCACCAGCCTGTCTAGGGCTACTAGCTTTAATAAATCAAATGTAGCAGCATTTTTTAGCAATCTAGAAAGTGTTCTTAGAAGGTATAAATTTAGTCCGGACATCTGGAATATGGACGAGACAGGTATAATGACAGTTCAGAGGTCTGACCGAATTGTGGCAAGACGTGGTGTTTAACAAGTGGGAAGAGTTACCTCGGTAGAACGTAGTACTCTTGTAACTTAACCGTGTGCTGTTTCAGCTACCGAAAATACTGTGAAACCTTTTTTTATATTCCCGCGTGTTCGATTTAAGCCCCATTTTCTTCAAGATGCCCCGCCTGGAAGCGATTGAAGTGCAAATCCCTCGGGCTGGATGAAAGAGGAGCATTTTATAGATCATCCTCTCGTTCTTTTGCTAGACAACCACAATTCGCATTTATCTCCTAATGCACTAAACATCTGCAAAGATCATGGAATAACAGTTTTATCATTTCCACCCCACTGCAGCCATAAGCTGCAACCTCTGGACCGCAGTATGTATGGACCTTTAAAAAAAGTATATCAATACTGCGTGTGATTCCTGTATGACTAGTCATCCTGCTGCAACTATGACTATTTATGATATACCTAGTATTGTTCGTACGGCACTACCCTTAGCGGCAACGCCAAAAAACATTACATCTGGATTTAAGGTTTCTGGCATTTATCCTTTAAATAGAGATATCTTCGCGGACATTGAATTCATGGCTGCCTATGTTACCGATAGATCAGGTCCTAAACAATATTTGCAAGATATTGCGAAAAATCCAAATCCAGTAACAGAAAATCAACGTGAACCCGTCTAAATAAATATTGTGAAAAATCTTTTGCCAAAGAAACTAACTTCAATGTAGATATACAACAACCTGGGCCTCTAGCCGAACCACAGAAAGTAGGGCATCTACCAAAACCTTTTCAAATGATCTCTTATCTAACAAACCTGAGTATATTCAGCCACCTAAAAATCTTGCCTTGACAGAGCAAGAAACTAACTTCAATGTAGATGTACAATAACCTGGGCCTAGCAGAATCACAGGAAGTAGGACAAAAACTTTTCAAATGTTCTCCTATATAACGAGTGTCCTCAGCCACCTGAAAAGCTTTTAGTAAATAATACTTTTAATATTGGAGTAGGCTGTAGTTCTACAGATCTCGAAATTTTAAGGCCGTTTCCAAAAGCAACAGAAAGAAAACTGCAACAAAAAGGTCGTAAAAAAGGAAATCCGAAATTTTAACTCACACGCCTGTTAAGGACGAATTGGAAGAAAAGAAAAGGGCCAAAGAAAATAAAACGAATTCAATAAAAAGCAGGTTTTTGGCAAAAAAATACTAAAACAGTATTAAAGACGATTCAAGCTTAAGTTGCGTTGAACCATGATCAAATAGTTTGCAAAGAGAAATAGAACCAGTACACCCAATGGAAATCATATGCACATAAAAAATTAGCAGACAAGTTTGTTCTGTATGTCGTAACTGTGATTCGGATGGATCTAACTAGATTACATACTCTTAACGGTTTTTGTGTTGTAAACTTTTTTTCAGACTGATTCATACCGAAGACAATAAATCTATGAATAAGTTACCTTAGTTTTTGCTTTTACCAACCAACTCCTAGATATGTACCAACCAACCCCTAGATGTGTACCAACCTTCCCCGGATTCGGGGTTGCTTGGTACACTTGCAGCCTTGGAGAAAAACAAATATTCTGAGTTTAAGTTATGTCTTAATTCGGCCCAATCTGAGAATTGGGTAAACAAAACATCAATAATCAAAACACTCAAGGTCTTTTGGCTCTGCTTATTAACAAAAAAATTGGGGAAGCCTTGATGTGGATAATGTACCAACCAACTCCGGTCTCCCCTACGTGGTTTTTCAAGGTTATATTTGTTAGCAGTTTAGGTATTTGGCATGACTCTTATAAAGTGTTCAATTCTCTTTGTAACAAAAGGAGAAAATGTAGGAAAATGTAGGAAAATGTAGGAAAATGTAGGAAAATGTAGGAAAATGTATGAGAATGTAGGAAAATTTAGGAAAATGTAGGAAAATGTAGGAAAATGTAGGAAAATGTAGGAAAATGTAGGAAAAGTAAGTATAAATAAAATCAGTTAAGTTTTTAGGGGTATTTTCTTACGTTGTATTTAGCTTCATCACAGGCACAACAATCATCATTCTTTTCAATGTCTTTTTCTGTTTGCTCGCATAAAGTTTTGGTGAGTTTTCCATCTTCAGAATACCATAAGTCGGAGTTTTCAAAAACCATGGCTCTGTAAGATTTTATTTTACTTATATACAGCGTGTCCCAAAATTCCGTGTACATAAAGCTACTATATGTAGGTAATTTTGGCTCAATCAACTTATTTTGATCTCACCAACATACAGTAGCTCTATGTACACGGAATTTTGGGACACCCTATATAATAAAATGCACAATGTGAACAAGTAAGCTACATATTACTGAAAAGATTTAAACAGGACTGATATTCATTAAACTTTCAAAAGAAACCAAGAGAAAATAGCTTACACGGGAGAGCTAACATTCTTGATAATGGATTATATTAGAAAAGATGTAGTTAACTACAGACAGAAATACTTGTTTTTATGTAAAATGCAATTTAATCTGAGTCTTTAAATTCAGAAAAAAATAGTATATATACTTACTTGAAAGTGACACATCCTGAACCTGGAGGTGGAGCTGACCACATGAAGATTACCTCACTTTTTGGATTAATGTTAACCTCTGATATAGTATTAACGCATTCTTCGTTAAAAGTAGCAGTTTCGTCACCATACAATTGAAAGCTACCAACGTTTTGAGGAGAGTCAGTTTGGTTGTAAGTTGACTCCACACCAATGGTGAATCGTTGGAATTTGTGAAGTCGCTTGCTATTAGAGTAACTAGGAGCCATTAGAAACACTGAAATATGAGTGTTTAGTTATTGTAGTAGGAAATAGATTGTTTTGATTTTTGATTTCATTTTATTAAATGTATTTTTGAAAAAGGTTGATCGTTTTAAAGTTCAAAACACGTGAAAAGTAGCGATGAAAGTGGATCGAATTATATTCAAACACTCACGAAAACTCACGTAGATATTAAAATAATTAAATTACCATCAATTATTTATATAAAATTGATTACACACGTTCAATAGATTCATGAAATCAAAAACATCCACCTTTAACAATAAAAATTAAATCCCATCTCTAGACTTTTGTTAATGACCAGAACTCTACCGACGAAAATAACAGTTAAAACAAAGCCAATAATATTTAATATCAGCAAAGATCATAAATAGCAAGAGTTTAACAAAGCCGCTTCACTGCCACTTAGTCAGTCCTTCGTTGAAAAAGGTCTCAGTTTTGATTCAACCTACCTTCCATGTAACATAGAAAGTTTAACGTTATTTTAAATAACTGTAAGTGTAATTTGTGTAATATTAATAAAAATCATCATTAGAAGAATGTTGTATATTTTTTAAATTATGGAAGCCTGAAGCGAGACGTTCAGGCAGTTTCAGGCAGGTCCTATCGTAAGCCGGATTTGATCCTATAAAAGAAAAATTTCAGTTGGCAATTATTATCAAGATTACTCAGCATTTGGTGCTGCAAGCCGGCTTTAATTAGCAAATTGAACAGTTAGATCGAAGCAAAATTCAACATATCGTCATTCAATTCACGTATGTACTAAGCATTTGTTTGCATCATCATTCAAAATCATCAGTTAACAAGAAAAATATTTTGTTAAGAATTGCTTCGAAATTCTGCAACGGCGAATTTTGCCATATTGAAGGTTCCATCTTCGGTTGAGGCGTTACATAACGGCCACTAGAAATAACCGTTGTCAACAGTGTATTTAGTGATGTTCGCGCAAAATATCAGGTCTTTATAACATTTTTATATTTTTATCTCGGTTTTAATAGATTGTTATCAGAATTTATTTACCTTTTAAATTAAAACATAGGAAATGTTTAGCATTTTAGAATTAAGGACGCCACAGCACTTTCTGTTTATGATAACATTATTTAAATTCCTACGTAGATGTAGCTACACTCTTTAACCTCCAGATTTTTTCAATAAGGCAATCCAGCGACCTGTCAAATGAAATTCAATATGGCCGTTGAGGGCAAACAGTTGATTTGTTGACATTGTTATTCGCTCCGTGCGCGACAGCAGCGCCAATTTGTTTTGGTATTAAAGGAGTATTTCTGCCTATACTGATAAATACAATTTTTAATAGAATGCGTAAATAAAAAGTATATATGTTAGTTTTAATAAAAGTATATGGATTTATAAAACAATTAAAACATTAATTTATTATTATTATATATTTTTCACGCTTAAATTGAAGAAAATTATGTATAATCATTAAAAATCAATAATAAAATATAGGCAGGCAACAGTATTTACTGGAAAATGTATGAGAAGTTGCCTAAGTCTAATAAGTTGTCATTGAAGAAACCATTTATAATAGCGTGAAGTTAAAATGTATAAAAAGGATCGCTACTTATATTTTCATTTTTGTTCTAAAGAAAACATAGAATGAATGATTAAAACTGGTTTCCGATCAGTAAGTCACAAAATTGCATACCAGCCAAATATTATAATCAACGGCAGAAATCTTGAAATCTAGTCCTTGCTGAATGAACATTTAAGAATAAAGGGATATTAAAGAACATCGTAAAATGATAATTTATTGTTTATTTAAAAACTTTCTAGTTTCTGATGTCTACTATTTCCAGCATTACTGTTATTATCACAAAAATAAAGGTAATTTTTCTTCTTATTGTACACCTATCCATTTATTTCTTTGATTTAATTTCCACTTTGTTAGTGAAATTTGTTATATAAGTTTCACTGTTTTTTTTGCTAGTATTTGTACAATTTTCAACACAGCAACTCCGGTTGCTTATTGTGTTGTTTTTACCTACTTTTTTGAAAAAAAGTAAAATGTATACGTGTATTTGATATGCCAAAATTACAAAATATCCCCCTAAAATGCACGAATTATCCGCAGCTAGCGCTAGTATCGCTTTTGCTTCCCTTTCCATGACTTCGCACGGAGCGAATACGTTTATAAAAAATTTTCTTGCTTTTAAAAATCGATTTTGCGAGCTTTTAAAAATCGATTTTGCGAATAAAACTTAAATCTTTTGCAAATGGAAAGTAAGTACTTAACAAAATTGTTAATATCCAGATGTAGGTGACAGGTTAGTTTAAAATATAAAATATTGTTTGTATACAATTTCAAAGATACATTTTTGTTATAGGTATAAACTTAAGTTAAAGTTGATTTGTGGTTTGGACCCATTTACTATTAGTGAATCACAACTGGATTACACAGTCACTGGAATCCCCCCTGTGAGTACTTTGGATATTGTGGCTTATTTAGTTTTAACCCATAGTTACTACACTATACAGCAAATGAAGGAATTGAAAAGTTTACAAGCCTATAAATATTTTGAATCGGGATTTGTTTTAAAAGCTGGTACCAAAATGTTTAACAATTTCTTTGTTCTGGTTGGAAAAGTGAAACATTCACAAAAAAGTGAAAAGCCTTTAAGAACCTGGTGTATAATTGCGAGTGATGGAAGCATTTCAACAGCCCAATGTACATGTATGCAGTCATGTTGGTGCTATTTTATTTGCAACAGAATATGCAAATAATAAAAAAGTATCAATAACTTGCACTGATGTTTTAGCTACTTGGCCAATGCTTTCCACGTCTGCGAAAGTTCCTGTGGTTCCAATTCATGAAATGAATTGGGGAAAACACCAAGATTTTGAAAGTAAAAGTAACGCAAAGCCGTTGTCTTCAGATGAAGTTAAGGACATGCTAGATATTATTTCAAATTTAGGTCTGACATCTGTTATGATGAGAGTAGAAGAACCTTTTGCAACAAAAATGCAGGAAGAAAGGCTAAAAAAGTTGCCTTCAATTTTTGATATATATTAAGAAATAAATATGTCAAAAAGCCATTTAGAATTGATGGAACTATCAAAAAAAATTATTTTAAATATTGATCAACAAACTATTATTGATATCGAGAGTGCAACCAGAAAGCAAAATGCTGTTGAACTGGTAAGCCCAAAGAGCAGGCAGGATAACTGCATCAAAATTTAAATCAGTTCGCAAGACAAGTACAAAGAAACCATCTTTGTCCTTAATCAAAATGGTGTGCTAACTCACGAAAATTACAAAAAGCAATTTCTTGGGGCCTATGTCATGAAAAAGATGCAGTTGCAAAATATACAAAACAAATGGAAACAACTCATGAATATTTTATTGCAAATGAAGTTAGATTGTTAGTGAGTGAGATGTGGCCACAGTTTGGTGCTTCGCCTGATAGATTAGTATATTGTGAATGTTGTTTAGGAGGATGTTTGGAAGTGAAATGTCCATATAGTTTAATTACCAAAGACATACAAAATATTAGGGATTATGTGAACATAAAAAGTTGTCTTGTAGTAATAGATAACAAAATTACTTTAAATAGAAACCATAGTTACTATTATCAAGTCCAAATGCAAATTTTTGTGTCAAACTTACGGTATTGTGATTTTGTTAAATGGAGCCCAAAAGTGTTTTATATGGAAAGGATTCTACCAGATCATGGTTTCTGGGAAAATGAAAGTAAAACGGCTTTGAAATTTCATTCTCAAATTGTAATGCCAGAGCTGTTAGGCAAGTGTTTTACCACAAACATGGGTGCCACTGAACTTTTCGCTTGGTGTATTTGCAATGATATAGATGATGGCAGGCCAATGATCCAATGTAATAATGACGATTGTGAAAAAACATGGTTTCATTTTGAGTGTGTAGTACTTACAAATACACCGAGTACAATGTGGTATTGTGAAATGTGCAATAAATAAAGTTAAGATTTTTCTGAAATTTTGAATCCTTTCCATATAAAATTTTTGTAAAACTGCTTGTAAACATATTTTTATTAAAACTACATATTAAGGGCCACAACGTAGTCCCTTGTAACTAACATTTCCACTGTAAATTAATTTTATGAGATTCTCATTTAAAACATTTCACTCCATCTACTGTATAGGAGAAGTTTAACAGTTTCTGAACGTACCATGGATAAATATTAGTCCTATTATAGAGTAAAATGGATTGTTCTATGCACTTGATTCGTTTTTGTTTTCTCCTGAAAAATGTTGATTTTGCGACTTGTGCCCCTCGATATGTAATATTTTAATTCCTTTTAACTGTAGTTGTAATTTGTATCTTTGTTTTTATTTTTAAGTGTATATATAGGTATATTAATTTTAAGTATTTTTTTTGTCAAAGTATTTAATATTCTTCTAATAAATATGGACAAAATACAGTATTTATCTTTTAAATTATAGAAAATATGGGTTAAGAAAACACAACATATGATTTGGACTGCATTATGCAATAACGAATTAAGGGACCAAATTCAAAAATCGAGTAAATGGTTTAATAATCAGTGAAACTTATATTAATTACAACATTTGTTTTTAGTTAAAATTCCCTATTTTACCAAACAAAGTTCTAAGTTATTCCACTATGACTTTGTCTCAATTTAACAAAATTAAAAAGATTTCTATTCCTATCCCTTAATTCACAATTACCTAACAGGGTCCATTTATTTATAAGTATATAATAATTTTCAGTTCGGTTTTAGTAGTACCTTTATTATAAATTTCCAATTGCATTTTAATTATTAATATTGAAGTTTGTAAAAAAACCTATTTCATATATTTATATTAAAATTTTCCAAAAAGATTCTAATCTTTTTATTAAAAACTTTTGTCTTTAATTAATTGACGATTCAGTCAAACAAAATATTTAACATTTCAAAAATATATATTAACCAATGACATTTTAAAATATACAAAACCTACATTGATTTTTCAGAATTCAAAGCTGATCAGCATGTTATCAGTAACTAATAAAAATATTCAATAAAAAAAAAGGATTATTTTATTATATTAGAAAAAATACATAATTTTTCGAAAATACTATAAAAAGAAACTCAATTTTTTACATAAAAAACAAACTACCTAAAATAACTGAATTAATATTTACACTGACTAACAAACTATACATACAAAAATTTATAAAAAAAACTCAAACATTTACAAAGGAATAACAGGTGGAGCAATATTTATAAAACTGGAACAAACGGTCACTATTTTGTCCAAGGTACTGATTTTTTCTGTATCATTTCCTTTTTTTAGCATGCTTATTGGTATTGTTCCTTTTAAAATATTAAATTTATTTTTAATCGTCCCAATAATCCTTTCAACATGTATTCTTACATGTGCTATGTTTCTGGTATCTTCAATTTCAAAAGGATGTAACTGATTTTTACCCTTAGTAAAAGCTGGTATAATTAATTTTGCTTCTAATACTTGCAAAGTGTCTTCTATTAAAAATCCTCTATCTGCCAGCACTATATCCCCAGGATTTATGTAGCTACAGAAATTACTCATTTCTACTATTTGTTTGTCAGAAGCTCTACCACCCCATACTGCACTGATATAACAAATTAAACCGTGTGGTGTAATACCAATTAGAATTTTAACTGTGCTGTGATGCTTATAGTTGGACCAGCACTGTTGTTGTGTGGTCATAACAAGAGGCTTTTCAATAAAAATCTCGAAACAATCGATAATGACTGTAGTCTTCTCATGAAAATTTTCATTAAAACAAGATGGTATGTTTTTTTGAGCTGCATCTCTGTCTGGCCACTTGATAACGATCTTAAACCGTCTATATAAAATATCAATAATGTTTTCAAAATATTTCGTTGCAGTTGAAGGTGAAATTTTAAAATGATATGCCAAGTCCTTAAAATGTGGATTTAATCTTAATTTAATCAAGACTAGTAATAACTGATTAAATGGGCTTAGGACTGTGGTACTTGTTGAGGAAATACAAGGCTCAACAAATTTAATAATTAATAAATTCACTATTGTGTACTGGAACCCTGTATAGTATTTTCACTTCTCGTTGTTAGAAATTTCTTTCACTAGGTAATCCATAAGGCGAGTCCTGTATTTTCTCGTTAAGATCATCTATTTTTGCTGATGCAAAATGTAACTATTCAAATTTCACATTAAGTTCGGTCATTGTTAAATCGGTTTAAACTGATATGCCTGTAACTTTTTCATTGTCACTGTTTTCATCATCACAGTTCAAAGCCACATCACTTTCAAATTTCTTTTCCTGTAATAAAATATAAATATTTATTTCACATCTTATTTAACTGTAGGTACATTTGTATTATATTACTCTAAAATACTTACATAAGATCTATCACGCTTCCTTTTCTTATCTAGCCTTTCTTTTCTTTCAATATCTCCAGGTTGTTTAACAAATTTCTGAGCAGTATGACCCATATTCTGAGATGGAACCCAATCAGGATGATTTTCATCTTCTAAACTAGCAGGTTTGCCTTACAAAAGTAAATAAAATAAATTATTTTTCTAATCTAAGTAGGTAGGTATGTTTAAAAAATATTTTATATTTATCTACCCTACCTGTTATGAAATGCTGGCTCTTTGGTATTTAATTTTAGTTTCTGTAAGATCATTCTGTTTTATTGCAGCTAACCATAAGTTTCTACGCTTCCGAGAAAATTCATTTTAATTTGTTAAAAATTTATTATTTGTTATGGCAGGAACACAACATAATTTTACTTTATCACGATTAGATCGATTTCCACATCCAACTACAATACAAGTAATGGGCATTTTAAGTAAAATAATACCTATAAAAATAGTCAACAGCAAAAGAACCACTAGAAATAACAAAAAAGACTTTAAAAAATGTATATAAACACAGTCCGAAACACAGGCATAAATGGCACTAACAGCAGTGGTTGCTCTCAGCGGCCATATTGGATCACCTGGTTTGGATTGCCTTATTATATCGCAAAAGTAGTTTGGCAAAATAATATACACAACCGTTCTTTTATTTTATGTTCTCAGTTAAGTTGGCCTGGTAGAAAACAACTGTCAACACCGCGTATTTGTAGAAACATATTGTTAGGCAATCTACCAATTTTATAGCAAGGTTTTTCTCGTTTATGGGGAATTAAATATTTAGCTGTCTAATTAGGGTCGCAGGTACCTACTTATGATAAATACTTATCGTAAGAATCTGTTAGTGGCACTAACCCTGCATAATATATTATAAATAGGTAGGTATATTTACCCCAATATCCAAATAATGGTTGAAATAATACATTTTTTGGTTTCGGTTATTAATTTGACAAGGATTTAGCTGTAGCAGATCGGATTTGTAGTTATGATTCGAAAGCTTACGTATTCTCAAAAACTCTCGCGTCTGTTTATTCGAAATTCGATTTGATATCATAACCTACACTTTGCAGTATTTTTTATTGTTTAATAGCAGATCGGACTCAACATTTTGATAAGAACGCAGTTACATTTTCATTAATTGAAATCGCATATATACGGAGCAGGTTATTATTTTTGTAATTAGAGAGTTTAGAAGTAAATGTTAAAACGGTATATAACATTTTTTACACAGTTATTAATTATGTGTCAAAATTTAAGGTGTTACTCAAGTTTAAGACAAAAAAATTCATATAAACGTAGATCCTTAATGGCTCAATTTTGAAAATACAGAATGTTGAAAAGTAAAAAAAAATGTTTTTTCTAAATAACTAGTTGAAAACTAGTATCAAATTGTAACTTCGTAGAAATTTTTATTACATAAAGAGGAGTTTTTTGAGCAAAACAGTTTTCTGTATTTACTAATGGAGTGCCCAGGGGTAACTATAGATTTAATAAAAAAAATAGAGCCGTTTACACGAACCTCTTGTTTTAAAATTGAGTGAGGAATAAGTTTAGCCACATACTTAATAATCACCATGTATAGGAGATTTTCTTATTGGTGAAGGTTTAGTTAATATTGGCGAATAAAAAAAAAGCAGACATAAGACGTATTTTTTAATGTATAACTATTTAGTATAAATTTTGACTGTATAATAAGATTAATTTAAAATTGTACTTTGATAAAAATAATAAGAAATAGCTTTATGATTGTTTTAGAAATATATTAAGTCACCAGTGAAATTAAACAATATACTATCAATGTTTTATTTATAATTAATAACAATTCACAGTGTAATTCGTATCTTGCAAAAAAATATTAGATAGGTTCCTACCTATATGAATAATCATGGAAATTAGGACTGTCAGTGGGATGAAGTATCTTGTCTATGACCTGGGAAAGAAAAGGCGAAGTTTTGTGGGACATAAATAATTCGAAGATATGTGTGCATTGTAAACAGGTAAAGAACCACTTTTGAATAAAGTATTTTAATTAAAAAAATCATCAGTATTTGTTTTTAAAAACAGGAAGTTGCACTGTGACGAGCGCCCGGGCCATAACAGAAGTGAAGCAAGACAGAGAAGAAACCACTTATTATTTTGTTATTTAGAAATAAAAATTTCATTCTGTATTAAAGACTGTATACTTTAAGAAATGAACCACATGTAGATTTGTTCTTATTTGAAAAATAAATAGAAACTTGGTTTTCTATATCAATATTTTGCCAATTTTAACTGTAATAATAAAAACAATGTATTGTAGAGATAAAATAAATTAGGCCTATATCCAAATGAAAACTTAAATTGGAGGAAACATTCGAAATAATATAAAAATAATTTATATAATTTTTCAAAACAAAATAAAATTATTAAATGTATCCACCACCAATATCCAATGTATTATTACGCTAGTTTAAATAAAACGACTATAACAATATATTATACAAATAACTTAATTTATATCGACCGTTTACAATGAAAACAAAAATCAGAATGAATAATATCTTAGCATTACTCATTGCCTATGGCATAACTACTAATATTTCTCTAGAGAATTCTTAAAAGAAAATTGATAAAATTGATAGAGGTCCTTCTGACATGCAAAATTTGATGTGTATTGTAACAGATTACAAAAATGGGGTCAAGTAAATTTCAACCATCACCGCATCTCCGCATCAGAGAGCGGTCGTCAGGACATGCTTTTACATTTTACAGTTTTTTGACCAAACTATTTATTAGATTTTTAATTTCTAAAAAGTATTTTAATCCTTGATATTTGCTCTACAACGTTTATAAAAAGTATTTTTTGATTAGAATTTTCATTCTTGAGTTTTCACTGTGTAAATGATATTGCAATTTAATGTTTCAGCGCGAGTCGTTTTATATTAAGGAACTCCATATAAGAGCGTGTAAGGCAGATAATTTAAAATTAAAAATAAAATACTTTCTCTTGGAATTTTGAAACAAAACTTTTGCAGATGATTAAAAATGTTGTGTAGATGTAAATTAAGCAAAAAAAAATATTGCTATTTCTTGGAAAATCACACTTAACTACGATTTTTTGACGACCAGGCGATGTTGCTTTCTTATGGTGTAATAAATAATATAAAATAGGTATTACATTTTAGCAATGAAGTGCAAACGGAATGACACGTTAGAATCATTTTTAAACTCTACTATCAATCTGTTTTGTATTTAGTGCCTCGTGGTATATAGGATATATTACAGTGTTATAAATTGATTACAGAATGATATAAAATAGTTTTTCCAGAATTGTAAAATTTCATATCCATGTAAAAAAAAGAAGTTCCACATAAATGTTCAAAACTAGTAGGTACATATTTATAAATGAGCACAGTAGTAGAAGTATATTTATTCCCCTTACTTATTTTCCTTATAAGTATCGCACTATATTCAGATCATACTTACTGGTATAAATATTCCCAGGTACATATTTTTCAGGATTGTCATTAATTTTTATTTCGTAGCCATTATCACCTGGTGTTTTGACCCTCCTAGATTGATAATAACTAGGAGTTCTTCCGCAACAAAACACATATCCAAATAAAATAAGGAACACTAATACTTTCATGTTAACCGGCTATTTCGAACTGAAGAAAATAGGAAAGTGAATTATAATAAAATATGGGATTTTATCAAAACTTTGATAACCCTAAGGTCATTAACGTTACGAGACAAGAGCAAAAATGTATAAACACTTGTAATTCCCATTACTATTTACACAGTAAATCGGATATCAATAAAACACATTGATATCTAAGATGTCCCTTATAACTCAGAAAAATGTAAATTGTATTAAAATATTATTTTGAGACCAAATATTTTATAAGATAATTCGGCTGTTTGATTTGATTTGATATTTTTTTCAAAATATATTTAAAATTTAATTTATCATGTTCTTAAAATCGTCGGTCAAAAGTTAATGTGTTTTATAAATATTCTATTAAAGTTTATATTTATATTATTATTTTTTGGACCGGTGTATATTATACCACTTTGGGCACAAAATACAGAACGAATATGTAGGCGATATCAATCTACTGTGGGGACTGCAGTCTACTGTAGTTTTCATACCCAAACCTGGAAGGATTGATTGCACTTTCCATGAAGACATTGAAAAGGCTATGCGAAAGGTACATAAGGGATGTGGTGATTGCAACAACACCACTATACCGAAATCATAACGCATACACCCCAGATCTACTGATTCAGTCCTTCACCTAGTTGGCTGGATACACAGATCCCTTCACAATAAAAAGTCCGCCTTGGGTGTTCTCATAGCATAGAAGGTGCGTTTAATAAGACGACCTTTCCCAAGATAATACACTCACTAACCAATATGAATGTTCCCCAGATGGTTAGTGGGTGGATACATAACATGATCTCAAAGCGAGCAGTAAACATGAGTGTAGAAGATGTGAATATAAGAGGCTCGGTTGCAAAGAGAAGATACCCGCAGGGAGTGGTACTATTACCTTTACTGTAGATCATGGCCCTAGACACCCTCATCAGCCACCTACACTATCTACAGATTAGAGTATGCAGATGATCTGATCATTCTAAAAACAGGGAATTTTGAGAACATACTTTGTGAAAGAATGCAAGTAGCTCTCAAAATTATGGAACAATGATGTAAGGATCATTCACTGTCTATCAATTCCAATAAGACAGAAATATTCCCTTTCACAAGTAAAGGATGAAAATTAAGCTAAAACCTCCAAAACACCTAACCACAAACCTAAACTTTGCAACAAATGTGAATTACTTAGGTCTCACTTTTGACAGCAAATTAACATGGAATTCACACCTAGAAAAAAGCATACATTGCTTATTAATAATGCAGTCAAACCGGGATCTGTCCGCCAGAGTCGTCGCATGGACTTACACGGCCATCATAAGACCTATTCTAACATACGGTACAATTTGTCTAAGTACCGAAATCCCAAAAATTGACAGCTATCCGTAAACTAGAAACAATTCAAAGAACAGCTTGTCTCAAAATAACAGGAGCCATGAGAACATACTCTGCGAAAGAATACAAATAGCTCTTAAAATTATAGAATAGTGGTGCAAGGAACATTCACAATACTAAACTTTGCAACAGAAGTAAAATATCTAGGTCTCATCTTTGTACGCATGGAGCTCACACTTAGAAAACAGAGTAAAAAAGAATACATTGCTTATCAACAATGCTGTCGAACCATGAGGCGCACCTGGGGTCTCTCTCTCAGAGTCGTTGCATGGACTTACACGACCATCATAAGATTTATGCTAACATACGGTGCAGTTGTCTGGGTACCGGAAACTCAAAAATTTATGGCTATCCGCAAAATAGAACAAATTCGAAAAAGAGCGTCTTAACATAACAGGGGCCATGAAAACCACACCGACCAGAGCCATGAAAGTTATTCTTAGACTCACTCCCCTTGATATTTATATCAAAGAGTTTGCTCTAAATGACACACTTCCACACGGATGAAATAGAATTTGATGTAGGATCTGGTGAGGCGAAACGTCGCTTTTGGCAGAAGGCGTTCGGTACGCTCTCACTGCTTTAAGCGAATATGGACTTCTTCTTACCGATATATATCTTCTACAGGCCATATAAAGTTATAACAGAACAAATAGAAAAGCCGAATGTGGCAGGTACGATTCATATCTATACCTAGACTTATACCTATATCTAGAACGACGGTTCTAAACTAAAACAAGGCTCAGGATATTCTAGATCCTTAAACCTTAACATAAAATGGGCTGTGAGCAATAGTGCCAATATAGTTCAAATCGAGCTCATGAGAATACCCACAGCAGCAAAAGAAATAACCAGGAACAATATTACTGGAAGAAACATGCTCATCTATACAGATAGCAGAGAAGCACTACTAACACTAGACAGACTATGAATTTATTCACGGTTAGTACTAGAATGTCACGAAGGTTTGGCCGAAGCATCTATCAACAATGTGTCACCTCAGAGGTCACACCACATCGAATTCACTAGGCAAGACAGCGTCCAACTGAATACTTTTTGGACATGGCCCTTCTATTGGACTGACAACATCGGTAGTGACAAACCTAATTAAAGAGCATTCTCTTGTGAAATTCAAAGAAAGTTGGTATGAAACAAGAAGAATACTACAACAAACAAATACTTGACCCTAAATGGACAGGATCTGCGTCTGACAACAGGCATTCTAAATGGTCATTGCCAAGTACGGAAGCATCTCCATATCAAGGGACTGTCACAATCCGTACTTTGCAGGGGGTTCGAGCATATTCTCTACGATTGCTCGACGCTCCCATGCATTAGAAGAATTGTGTTCGACAATAATTGGCTGTCACCAGCCGTTATAAGAGAAGCATCTATTAGCAACGTTATCAACTACATTTAATCTGTATTCTGGTTCACGACCTAGAAGGTGCCAATCTACTTAGGAAGATGCACAATAGACCTAGTGAAGTCCAAGTATAGTTTACACAATATGTATAATTTCATATCCATTCTTGTAAGGATAACGTCTAAGATTGACATTCTCCTTTCTAAGCAAAATCAAAGTTAGAGTGTTGAAAATCATTTTCTATTCCTGCTATTTTTCTTTGGATATAATTCAATGTTGTTACGTATTTATCAAAAGTCACTATTTTATTATTAATTTTAATAATCAAAAGTATAAAATATACTATATTTTATTTTATTGTGTACTAGGGTCTTGCCATTCTTCATCTGCAGCAGCTTCTGAAATAAATAACAAATATTTTAATATAATATTTTAAATATAATTATTTAGCATTCAATAAATTGTAAACAATGCTAACATGATATCTATCGTCATTTTTCTTTTTTTTTTGATATTATTAGCCTTAGTTAGACTCTATGACTATTCCAGTAGCCAAAATATTTGGTTACAAGCCTTTCAGGTAAAGTGTTGACAGTTGGTTATGCCAAATATAATTTCTTCTTTTTCGATTTCAGTTTCCCCGCGTCTTTGGAAAGAAAACTTGCATGCTGCACGTGGGTGCATATTCGTTTTGCGGATTTTAAACAAGTTTCTTAGAATAATAATAGATTAACAAGTTATTTTCGTTCTCAAGGAAAACGCTAATCACTTGCTTATCAAAGAAATCAGAGAATTTATTAAAATACACATTGAGGACCTATTAGACCCGTGGTTGGTAACCAACACATCCAATTAAGTCATAGACTAAGCTTTACTAAAATATTAAACTTTTTCTTGCTTTTAGGCCTCTTCTTATCTTCTCATCTTCTATACTCTATTCTTCCTTACTTTACTGTAATATACTCTCTCTTCACGTCTCTATATTATTAGTTGGTACCTCTCTTTCTACCTGTCTGCCTTAATGACATATTGATAGCATAATTGCATGGTTACATGGTCAATTGCTGTACCTGTAGTGGTAAGAAGTACCCAAGCTCCGATAGAACATGTTCACAGTGGTTGTAACCAGATGAAGACTTGGTAGTGGTAAACTATACAAAGGATAATCAAGTAAGACCTTTTCTTTTTTTTTTTTTTCATTATTTATCTAGAAGCAAAATTAATAGAGGATATACGATACATATAATTTCTTGAATTTATAATATTTATACTTAACAACAGTGTACACCAATCTGTATCGATACACCTTGGTCTATTTAACAGCTTGTGTTAACTTATTTGCATAACTGCACGTTTGCTTTATATTAGTATGTCACTACTTATTTGGTATCGTTGCTTTTGTTGTATCATATCCTTTCCTTTAGCTTTTCTAATACACACGTAGACCTAAACACCTAAAGGTAATAAGTATATCGAGCTGAAATAGTAGTGTTTATTTTTATTTGAGCTAGACTGTGTAATTACGATCCCATATTATTTGTTTTTCTCAATACGAATTCGACGAAGCAATGTCTGTTGCGGTATTAGCCAAAGGAGCAGTTGTTTATTTTGTGTCACATAGCTCTTTATTTTAATCCACTCTTGTTGCACATATTACTATTTTCTATTTCTTCAAGAAAACAATTTTGTATATTTTTGTGTGTATTCTTGTAACAACGATTTCTTGCCTGATACCAATTATTAGCCAAAAATTCTAATATGAGTTTGATAGTCGAACCACACATTTCATTAAAAAACACTAGGAAGCCATATGTCTTAGATAACGCAGTAGATTCCTCTAGAAGTATTCTAGCCAGTCTTTTAGACTGGCACAGGACATGGATTAATGTTTCCTCTTCTTGTTTACAGGACCTGAAAAATGCTTCTTTTGCTGGATTGACGGCCCTCATTTGCCTTCTTCGTGTCCTGTTAGAATATCCAAGTGCGTGTAGAAAAAAAAACATTTATTCTAGCTTTCTAATAATGTAAGAAGGGTTGCTAATTTTTATTGAGGTAGGTGGCGTATAGGGCATTGAGGGAGTTAGGGGGTGTATTTTGTTTTCCCAAGCCTATATCCTAGGAGCGATTTTGGCATTTTTAGTTCATGAGATATAGCCATTGTAAGGTTTTAAATTTTCACCCCGTATAATTTACATTTTGCATATCATTTTCGAACTATCCACTTTAGATATTCATTTAAAATAAATCTTTAATCAAGCACCAATGGGTATTTAACATTAAATTAATGTATAATAATTCTTCAGAAAATAACTGCGATTTGGCAACCACGCATATTTATGGATTGAGTTTTACGAATGTTACTGCAGCCATCT